GATCCAAGCTCAGCCTCAAAGCAGAGTTAATGCGCATCAGTGGGAGAGTGCCTTTCACTGTTGACTGGTCAACAGTCATGAGGACCCCAATTGAGGGGCATCAGACCAGGTCTCATATTCAGGGGAGCACACTGTGCCCACAGTATGCATGATCCTCCCTGGGAACCAGGACATCTAAGCAACCACTGCCCAACATTGTGGAAGTAAGAAGAAAGATTTCACAAGTTGTCACTAAGGTGTGTTGACAGGAATTAATCTCACCTCTAGCCCTGATTGTAGACCCAGGTGCCACAGCACTCTGTGGTGCCCAGCACATGCTGCATTCTTTGTGACCAAGGAATCCCTGCAAGGGACCTTGGTGTAGGTTAATCAAGACCCATATCTCAATTTTTGACATTGCTGTGATTACCACTGTGGTCTCAAGAAACTCTTGGCATAAGCTTATTGGAAAAATAGGCCAAGAGATGCAAAAGCTTTCAGGAGTTTTGCAGATCTTTGCCTTGAAATAATCTGTGGACGTGTTAGCTCACAGACTAGAAGCTGCTTCGATAACAGTCAGACATTGTCAGAGGATGTTTGCACAGCAAAATTCCTCTTTGCTGCCGGCCATCACCCTGAGCTTTTTTGTAAGGCAGAAGCTTGGTTTGGGTCTGTGTCGAGAAGCTGATTAAAATACCTGCCCAGCAGATAATGTGCAGCTGGAACTATCCTAGACTTTGAGGCTATTCCTGCTTCACTCCTGACTACATGTCTCTGTGTTTAAAAGAAGTAGATTAGAGTAGTACACAGACTCAGTGTTCTCGTTTTATACATTTTGTCTTTAATTTATATGCTCAGCTAAGTCTGCCACTAACTTGGGCCATACAATGCTTATCTTAGAAAAATTTGTAACAGTCACTTCTTTTAGACAGAATTAGGTAAGGATCCCCTGGAAACCTCAAATAATGGGCTTTACACATCATTCTTTAACAAAAGACAACATTTCCTTTAACAATAAGTACTGATGTGGGATTTCACTCAGGCCCCCTCAGCCCACGGGAATGCTGGAGGACCCCTGACTCCCTTATCACTTTAACCTGCAGTTAGTCTCTGTCTCAATTATTTCTCCATCTATATTATTTCTCTATTACTATTATTTCCAAATCTATTGCAATGATCCTGCCTTGGGACCTGTTTTGCTGGGAGAGTGGCTACCTACCAGCATAAGCTTATATGTGGAGGAGCTTTTCCAACATTTTCTTCTGTAAATCTTATGCTCACCACTCACAAAAATTAATTCATGGCAGATAACAGACTTAAACCACACCATAATTTATCTCCCACAGCCAGTACGACAGAGAGTCTCACACAGGACTGTTCTCCAGTCCCCTGTGAGAGGACCTGGTGCAGTGACTGGATGGAAGCCTGCGTGGGAGGTGGGCCCTGCCTGTGTGCACCACTGAGAGTGTCCATGATTACGCCCCTGCTCAGACTTGGCCACCTGTGGAACATTTCTTGTTTAATCTTAAGTGGTGTCGTGACAGTTGGGAGCGTGTTAGCAGGTAATAAAAATCACCGTCATGATTCCTTCTCCTTGCAGCCAGCACCTGTAACCAGCATGTGGATTATTTATGAGTGTGTCGTCTGGCCTTGGCGAGAAGACCTGTGCATTGCATCTCGGCATCTTTAGAGTGCTCTCCCTGTGGAATTCCACTGACAGTCACGTGCATGGAATTAGCCGGTGGACAACAGGCATCCTCTGCAGCCAGTGACTCCAGCACTGCCCAGATGGTCCATGAATTAAGTGGCCACAGTGGCACGGCTGGATGACTTGCATCACCCAACTTCATGTACTTTCACCCACCAAGGCATGCTGAGGCCCTCCCTCTGCCTAATCTGAAGTCTGTGAGCAAAAGGGACCAGCAGTAACCTCAACAGGGCTCCTTAACTGAGTCAGGGAACCACTTTATGGCAAATTCACTGAGACCCTTGACTCTGGGAGGTACAGCAACTCACCTTGACTGGATCCAGCATGGGTGTGTGTCTTTCTAAACCCAGGGCCTCAGTCAGGACCACTAGCCATGTTATTACCGTGCATGCAATTCAATTAATGGTGTCAGCCTGATATTTCCTGGGGCCAAGGGCTCCACCTCACTGTAAAAGTCACTGAGCATGGGGTTCACTAGCAGGTGCTGGCCTGACTGAGAGGTTCACCTGCATCAGTAATTTGAAATGGCAGGTATATGGCCATGATATCCAGTGCAATGGGGCTTCCTGCATGAATGTGCACAGTTCCCTGTATGTGGGGAAGGGATGCAATCTAGCAGGATGCAGATGTTACCTGAATCTGTGGACCTTTCATTGGAATGAACAGGAGCAGGAGTAGGCATAGCACCAGCCCCTCACTTTACCTGGCATCACTCCCAGGGGCCCCTCTCAGGAACACGTGGTGCTGCCCAACACATATAAGCTTCTCATGCAATAGGTTAGCAGGGCAGCAAACAGTCACCGTCTTTGCAAGGGCAGTGACTTTAGGATTAGGTGTGGCTATGTTTACATAGTGAGTAAGGGAGGAATATATTTGGATTCCAGTAATTCCACTGGAGTATTCTTTGGAACTCCCAGGTCTTGACAATATGTACACAGATGCAACTTAAATGCATAATTGACTCAATGATAATTAAACACATTAGGATATGACCTCAGCCGTTGCAATATGTGAGTATGTGTCGGAATCCCCACACGCTCAATGCAGTGACGGTGCACCAGGCTATCAGAGACAAAACTACAATGGCCCCTACTTCTGTCTATCACCGCCTCAATCCCAAATTATCAGGAGCTGCCATCATCCGACATTTCCAAACAGATTCTGAATGTTATTTCAAAACAGATGACACTTCTGCATGTGTACATGAGCTTTTCCTCACCTGGCCCACATCAACTTCATAGCACATCACGCCACTATTGCGAGATTCTGGGGAAGCACAGAGATGATATCACCCCATGGCATTTGCTCCCACACACAATTGCCGCCCTCCCGTAGCCTGGAAACGCTGGGATGTGTGTGCAGTGGGGGAGAGTCCATGGGTGGACGCTGTCATCTTCCCCACGTAGGTGAGCATGAGGGTCTGAGGCTAAAGTATGCACCTGGAGAAAGAGACCAGCAGTTGCAGGTCTTGTAAGGTGGATTTAGTGTAAACACTGACACTGGTGTCCTCCCCCTATTACTCTGACTTTCTGATCTTAAGAAAAATGAACTGAAATATTCACACCATCCTCTCTGTCACTGAACATTGAAGATTCCCAGAATCCATGAGAGAGCAGCTGGAGCTGCTAGAAAGGTCTGTATGTTTCCACAGCAGGGACCAGTTTGCATGTCATCTGCATGTAGACATGGATGGAAAGACTTACAGAATATAAAATGCGTGGCCTGCGAGTGTTTCCTCCCATTCTGTGAGTTGTCTGTTTGCTCTCCTGATAGTGTCCTTGCCTGTGCAGAAGCTTTTCAATTTGATCAGGTCCCATTTACTTATTTTTGTTGTTGCTGTGATTGCCTTCGGGGTCTGGGGGATGGACAGGCTTGTAGCTCTGACTTGGGTGGGGCAAATGCAATATATGTAACCTAAAGAATGGTACCCCTGTAATATTCTGAAATAAAAAAAGATGTGTAAAAAATTAAATAAAAAGTAAAGAAAATTATACGATTTGCATAACAGGAAATAAACGTGGGTGGGTTTTTTGTATTGTTACATGTAAAGATTTTATTTTATTTTAATTGGCAAACAATGCATACATTTAACCTCATAACACGTGTTTTCATGTATGTATACCTTGTATATTGATCAAATTAAGAAAACCAGCATATTCCTGATCCAAAATATTTATCAGTGTTATCATTTCTTTTTTTTATTTCACAATATTATGGGTGTACAAACATTTTGGTCACATACAATGGCTTTTCCAAGCCCAAGGGAGGGCTACAGGAGTCCCCCTCCCCCACACAGCTCACTCCCCATCCATCCTGATAGTTGAGTGGAATAAGAAGTCAGAGTGTCTTAGCTGATGTCTGCCCGCTGACATCTCAAGGCCCATCCTTCATCTTCCCTGTTTGCCCCATTCATGGGAATTCTAGGAAGGAATCACAAGCGCTTTCTCTCAAGTCGGCGGTCGGAGGCCCAGACTCCACCAGACCCCTCCTGGGAGTAACAGACCCCTCCCTGCCCATCAGGGAACTGTTGTGAAAACCTGAGCCAGTCTCCCCTCCTGCCCTACAAAGCCACTTGGGACTTTCTTGACAGGCCAGCCCTGCTCTGCAGACACCTCAGTAATGGAGGGAGTAACCCGTCCCATGTTCATTTAGTGTGTGAGTGTATGTGTGTGTGTGTGGGTGCATGTGTGTGTGTGTGTAACACCATCAGAGTCTATTTCTACATTAAATGTTGGTGGGGTCCCTCTGTCCTTGAATTGTGTCAGATAGAATCGATGTTGTGAGCCTGGTGCTGGGACACTGTCCACCACGGAGTCTTCCTTCTCTTGCTTAGGATGCTGACTCCCTCTGCCCCTGATGTCCTGCAGACACTTTATCTTGCTTGCTGGATAGAAGGAACGTTCACTTCCATGTGCTCTGCTGCATTGGGTTGTACGAGACAAAATCTTTTATCGATTTTCAGACTTATTCAGAAATGCTGATAATTTATGTACATTTGGAGAGAGGACAAAGTGACTGGAAGCGATTCTCTGCCTTTTGTGCAGGCGAGAATATTTTCTCTCATGACCACAAACATATCTAACTCAGAGACTGCAGAGAGAAGCACAGAATTGTGAATTCAGAGAAGTTCCTCAGAAGAAACCATTTATGGAGAGGAAGCCACGACCCTAAAAGGAAACCAGCCCTTACCCTCCACCTGCACCTGCCCTGGGCTGACTCTGCTCCTTGTGACCCGCCTGCCCCCTGCTGGCCCCACGCGCCCCCACAGGAGGTTTGTGTCTGGGCTCACATTGATGTCCCCTCACTGTGTCACCCGCACAGTAGTACACGGCCGTGTCCTCGGCTCTCAGACTGTTCATTTGCAGAGACAGCGTGTTCTTGCTGTTGTCTCTGGAGATGGTGAATCGGCCCTTCACGGCTTCTGCGTAGTATGTGCTACCACCAGTATTACTAATGTATGAGACCCACTCCAACCCCTTCCCTGGAGCCTGGCGGACCCAGTGCATGTTGTAGCTACTGAAGGTGAATCCGGAGGCTGCACAGGAGAATGTCAGGGACCCCCCAGGCTGGACCAAGCCTCCTCCAGACTCCACCAGCTGCACCTCACACTGGACACCTGCAAACACAGACACATCCTGGTCAGAAACTGCCACACACACCCCTGTTTCTCTCATTCACATCCACTCACACCCAATATCTCTAGTTCTCCATGAATTACCTTGTAACAGAGCAACAAGGAAAACCCAGCTGAGCCCAGACTCCATGGTGAGTCTCTGTGTTCAGACCTGATCACCGAATGGGGACACCTGGGAATGCCGGGGCTGGGGCTCCTCTCCCAGAGCTGCAGGGTGAGGGCTGGGCTGGTTTTCATGAGCAGAGGGTGGGCCCTATTTGCATGTCCCCTGCTATATAGCAAGTGCTGGGGTGGAGATTCCTGTAGGAGGGCAGGGGACAGAGAAGCGGTTAGAGTCCTGAGGGAGGTTATGCGTCATGATATTTTATTTTATTTTATTTTTTGTCAGCAGCATATTATCGGGGTACAGATGTTTAGGTTATGTATGTTACCCTTGCTCTCCCCCACCAAGTCCCAGCTCCAAGCGTGCCAATCCCCTAGATGGTGCGCATCGCATTCTTTGTGTATATCCGTCCCCTCCTCCTCTCTCACCCCTCCCCCCTGCCCAACATCCAATAGATGTTATTCTTATATGTGCACTTATGTGTTGATCACTTAATACCAATTTGATGGTGAGTATGTGTGGTGCTTGTCTTTCCATTCTTGGGATATCTCACTTAGTAGAATGCGTTCCCCCTCTATCCAGGAGTATACAAGAGGTGCTATATCACCATTGTTTCTTAAAGCTGAATAGTACTCCATGGAATACATATACCACATTTTATTAATCCACTTGTGTATTGATGGACACTTGGGTTCTTTCCACATCTTTGCAATTGTAAATTGTGCTGCTAAAACAGGTCATGATATTTTAAAGATGAAATTCTCAAAGGAGAAGCATAGAGGAATTGTGCAATGTGTGCACGAGCAAGCACACACCTGGGGAGAGGTACCTGCGGTATCCTGTGCTCCCAAACACTAGACCCTACTGCTGCCCTGAACCAACTCCAGGATCAGTGTGAACATGCCTC